CTAAAGAATAGAGGATTATAAGGATCTGTTTTTTTCTAACTTTAACTTTCATCTACTGATAGCTGCTATAGAATATTAGAAAATATGGCTCAACAGTTGAGATCAGTTTGAGTCAGTGGAAGTTGCTGACGAAGGGGAGAACACTATTCATTCACCAGTTTCTCACCATCTCACAGTCAGTTGTGGAATTCAGTCTGGCAGCCACGAGGCCACATCTCTCTGTTTAGACTCACTGCAGTCCATTTTCAAACACCTGTCTGCTGTCTGAGTACAGTTTGGCTGTCAGGCATCATTTCAATAAATCTGTTTCACTGTAGGTGACTGAACAAACCTTGGACCAGACGTTGTGTTTTCAATTTATTTTCAGTCACACTTGTTGAAGAATAGGCTGGTTCCTGTATTGTCCTCCTGTTGGACACAAAGTACTGACAAAGAACAAGAAGGAGACAAAGTTGTAAGGGATTTCCAGACTGAGACATGTGAGCAGGAAACAGTGCTAACAACAGATAGATACCCCGAGTGTTGAGTTCACACTTTGAATGGATTAACTGAGCTCATGTTGGTGGGGCATCGCTGCCATCTCGTGTTTAAGCGCAGCGCTGCAGCAGCACAAAAACAAACCTCTCCTCACTTCACTGGGTTTCATTTCCTTTCCTTTATTTTGACAGGAGCATGGGCTTATGCAGCCTTACAGTTCGTACAAATACAGACTCCTCAAAAATGCATTGCTTGCATTCACTCTCACCGCTGTCACAGAATGTGTGGGGATGATGTTTGACGCTGTAAATGCTGCACACTAAAGTGAAACACTACTAAGGTGAGCTACAGACAGACAGTGTGCGCCTACGTGTTAGTGCACAGAGACGACCGTTGGGATCTTTGCATTTTTGTGCAGCTATTGCCATCAGGTCACGATGTGGATGAACACGACACACACAGAGAACTTGCATATTGAATACCTAACCTACAGCTTTCCACCTGAGAACGAACCAACACATCCGCTGTTGGGACACAACTTGGATTTGTCAAAGCGTACAAAGAAAAACAAGTTTAGAGAAAAAGAAAAAAAGAGGACAGAAAAGGTATTGCTGCTGCTGAGACAAAGTGTGCGAGCAGGTCGTGGGCATCTGAGAGGAAACTTGAAATCAAAGAGTGATGGTGACGATAACACAGACAGGAGTCAGTAATACTACTTACTGCAGCTCTGGAAAACAAAACGCCGCCTTCCTACGTAAAGGTGACACTGGAGGTGTTCTACTGTGATGCTTGATGTAAATAAAACAAAATATATCATAAAATACATCTTTAGTCGTTACCATGCAGTTGCATTCGCTGCCATTATTCTAGCACGGAAATCTGAACAACAGTACACACCAATACAACTGATACACATTTAACCCACTGTGCTGTTTGTGCGAGGTTAAAGGGAAAATCCACACAAAATTCACATTTCATCAAGTCACCACCTCCAACCAGCTGTATTACGTCTGATGATAATGTCGTGTGACTCAATATTGAAACTTACTGAACTCAGCAGGCCCATGCAACTTTTCCTTGAAAGTTACAGATTGGTCACAAACTGAAAGGTGAAAGCAACAAAATAGTCGTAATAAAGTAGATTTAATGTGCTAGAATCTTTACAGTCTACCAGGTCAAAACCTAATGGAAGACTTCTGAGTTATACGTTAAGTCTTGATTGTTCTCCCTTGTGGCTGAGTTCACGGACAGCTGTGGATACAATGGACACAAAGTTCTTGTTCCTATACTATTTTTATTGTCCACTTGGAGGACATACATGTGCAGTAGATCATATCTACATACTCTGTGCATACACACTACTACCCAACATGTGCACTATTTCCCTAAAGCAACAGGAAGTTGTGCAGATTTCGGACTCTTGCGGACTTGGGGAGATGATGAAATTAACATCCCCTGTACTCTAGCAGACCCTCATGTACTCATGGATGCAGAAAGTAACACTCGCCCTATGATTCATTACAACACAGCTTGTGTTGATAATATTCAGACTGCGCCCCCTGGTGGTAAGCGCGGACATGCATTTCTATACAGATGTATGGAAACTTCCCCACAGCAAACGGAAAGGGGCTAATGTGTTAAACTAGTTCCTTTTCAAATATACATTTACACAATTTGTCAGCATAGTCAATTAACCAAATTAGCCTGTCAGCTAATTCTTTTTTTGTGCTGCCACAAAAGAACTAAATGGTCAATGTGCTAGAGATGAATTTCAGACCAGAAAAAAAAAAAAAAAAAACAGAAGGAGGTGGATTGACATTGGAGTAAACAGGGGTTCTCATAGGAATAAATGGAGCTCTGGTTGACTCACATACACAGAGAAAGAGTTTCATTCAGCAATATTATCCTTTTCTTGTCCTAAAGTCCTCTTACTTTGTCCTGTGAAGTTTGTCTCAAATCAGATTTACCAAATTGCTGCTGCACAAACTCGTCATAGGTTGCCTGCATCATACTGACAAACGCAACCGTGTGCAAAGAGAGTGTGTGTTCAGAGATTAACAACACTCAGGTTGCCACATCGTTCAGTTTCAGTAGTTGTATCAGAGCGCCCGAAACAATTAGAAAACGTTAATAAAACATCTGTTAATGATGTTTAGTCAGAGCAACGCTGTGCTTTGACACAAATAGAGACGGAATGGTTTGGGGTACATGAAGTTAGACACTAAAAAGCATCTTTATCAGGCAAAGGGGGTCTATGTACAATATACAACTAGTCAAAGGAGACCGTCACTGAGAGATAATGTTACACTGCTGGGTGCAACGGAGGATGAGACTTAACAGAAAACACTGTAAAGATCCTGGGAAGCTTCCTGCTTCATGAAAGTGTACAAGAAATTCTACAAAACCTCTCCGTAAACCATCAAGCCATGATGCGTGCCACAAAATTCCAAATAGAATATCAATATTGTCCCAAGATTGTTATTTATAATCTTTAAATAATCCATTTTGGGTATCTGCTGGAAGTATAAAATACCATCAGGTGCCATTACACCACTGTTAGTACATAGAGGACCACCATCCTACCAAAAAAAAAAAGCTCATGTCTGTCTGTCCTTTTGTCAGCCCTCTGTACATCCACGGGAGTTTGTTTTGAGCACGGTGCTTAAAACTAAATATCTGCAGCATATGTCCCTGAAAATTCTCTCCCACGAGTCCCACGACTTGTTCCGTTATTAATCGCCTTTACATCTCAGGATGACGCTATCGGAGCCGTCTGCTGTTCAGCTTTAGGAAAACCTGGCTCCAAGTCACACTATAAACTGAGAATCAACGTATGTCATTTTTACATATTTTTGGATGGATTTTCCCTTTAAGAGCAACTTTTCTCTTTACAGATGCATATAGTTCTGAGTTGTAGCCCTCCACAGAAAGCTTTTCAAGCTGATACATCAAAGCCACTGTTTCACAATATTTGGTGAATCTGACATGCTGGTAAATTTCATGTTTTACACGAGAATCATCAGAAAAACATATATGGCTCTATCATAGCGCTTAAAGATTTGACCTTTTTTCCTGTGCTTTCTGTTCTACACCAAAGGCGAATTTGCATCCAGAATGATCTTCATCCAATCTGCCCCAGTGTTCCTATTTCCACCGCAGAACATATCTGTGATTGTCATACTCAATGACCACACCCAGGGCTCTCACAGAACCAACAGCAATAAAGAAAATTCACTTGGATCTGACTGTTACAGCATGCAAGCTTCAAACAATGTGTGTTTCCACTTGAGAAAGCCGTCGTTCGAGTCAGTCAGTGCAACGGGGCGAAGCTGGCCCCTTTGTGGCCCCGGGCTTTGGAGCCAGGGCCAGTGTCCGGAGAGGTAGGGGAGACGGGGACGTCGAAGGCGGGGTTGGGAATATGCAAAGCTGCTCTTTTGCATTTCTTTGAGCGAGTCTTGGTGTGACGTGGAGGAGAGGCATCCCCGTGAGAGCTGGCTGTGTGGTGGGCCCCGCAGCCCGTGGAGAGCTCCGGTGAGGGGTCAGAGTTGGCCGCGGGGCTGCTGCTGTCTGGGCAGGGATGAGCTGTCTGAGGTTTCCCCTGAGGACACGAGGTGGACAGGAGTGGGGAGAGAGCAGCCGACTCTAGCAGACCTTTAGTTCCCTGCGTGCACTGAGGGAGGAGGAGGAGGTACAAAGGAAGACAAGAGGTGAAGAGACAAGCCGGTGAAGTTAGCCTGACGAACGGCAGGGTGTTAAATCCCTTCTGTGTTTGCAGCTAGAACAGCTGTGCGAGATAAATCAAAGGTTAGCTGAGAGGGTGAGCACATGTGACCTGAAGCAGGAGATCCTGTTTCATGCCATAGACGTGCATTTGCATGCATGTTACACCTGTGGAGTCAGATTTGATATTTGATTAGCCCAACAACAGATGAATTGATTTAGCTTTTCATGGTGATTTATTGACAGGAGTCTGTGGGAGCCAGAGCTTCACATAGCCTAGCAGTGCTCGGGGTTTAAATTCAGCATGCAAATTTACTTGCAACGTGGATTACAGTCTGTTTATTCATTCTGCATTCCAAAAAAATCTACTTCTGCTCTGGATATAGACAGATAGATAGAACTTTATTGATCCCTTTGGTAGAACCTCAGGGAAATTGTTGAATATAAACGACAAAGCATCAAGGGTTCTGCTTATCACACCAACATTTAAATGATCTTATGTTCACTGTTGCATTTAACAGCAAAACTAAACAAGAGATGAGTCGACAGGTCCCATTCTTAACATATTTTCTTTTGCTAAAACTAGTTCCAGACTCTTGAAAAAATGCCCTGTTTAGTTTTTGTAGGACTTCTTTAAACTTATTTTATTTGACAAATGCAATAACTTTGCTGCTAATAACAGCAAAAGACAACAAGCTAACATTAGTTTCCAGTTAAACATTGATGCTAAAGTCCCTTTAAACTGGAAAATTCTGCAGCTCTTACTAATTTACAAACGTATTAAAGTCATACTGTTTCCACAGTGTTGTTTTTTATTCCTTACACTGCAGTCAGCAACAAGTCTGCGTGGTTTCCAGAGCTGCTGCTGAGCAGCTCTACAAGCTCAGCTGTGGACACAGAGCTCTGCAGCTGGAAGCAGAAGAGCACCTTTTGTTTCTAAACGTTTTTATTAGTGCTAATTAAAGCGCTCACTGTGAAATCACAATTTATCAACTACTGTAGCCATCCAGTGTAATAAGTTGAAGGGGTCGCATGAACCGTCAAATTAAATGGGACCAAAAAATTTAAAGTTATGGGTCACAAAACCGAAACAATGAGCGTTTTCCACTGAAGGAACTTGTGGGCTGTTTTCAGACAACCTGAAACTTTGCATGTTTTCCAACCACCAAGTCCTGTTGAGCCTCTTTCACGGCTGTTTTCAGGGGTGGAAGAAGCACCTTCTCCTGGGTAGCTACTTATCAGCAGCCCAGAAAAAACCGCTGTGTGTTGTAAAGAAAGGACTCGACACTTATGGAGCTCCTGGATAGAAATTCATGGGGAATTTCATCATAATAATGACACATTTCACCATTGAAATCATTATTTTTCTCTCCCCATTCACTTAGATATGGACCTAGTATTGTTAATCCAGAATGACTTCCCGCGGGTGTTGCTGCTGAGTGAAAGGGCTCCAACAGACCTTACTGGTCCAGGAGCAGTGCTTCCTACGTCTAGTATCTACTATCTGATACCCTCCAAGCCAACTTTGCACTCTGATCCCATACAGAAATGGGAACAGTAAGGTTGAAAGAGTTAATTGGGGCTGTTTCTATAAATGTTCACACCACCTTGCCCCTTGTTCCTGCAGCTTTAAAGCCACCGAATGAACCCCAAGAAGTCCTAAACCTCCATAGAACTAAGTGAAACTGCAGCTGGATGATAATATTTAACACTATGAGCAACACACATCCGTTTTTCCAACATAAGAAATATTGATTAGTGCAGCTTTAAAGCCTGATTTTCACTTGAATTAATTCCCAAATGTCTTTAGCCTCGGGGCTACAACACACAGCGTGTGAGTAATTGAGGAATTTTAACAGCGTGAAGCCTTGGTAGACTTTTTGTTTTCAAATTTAAAAGATTAACCGCTAATCCTGTTAATCCTTCAATAAACGCTAGTTTGTACTCAGTGCTTCTACATCTATATACTTTAATTTAATCGTCAAAGGCGCCTTAATTGCAGGTCGAATAAGCTTGGACACTTCCCTTCTTTGATTAAAAAACTATATAATCAATAGATGTCCTAATAACGAATTGCAATTCATTTCCTAATAGAGTATCAGTGAGTAAATAGTTTGGATTACAGCTCCATGCACCTAAGCATCCTCTTAATTAACTACTTAACATGTTCTTTTTCTTTTAACAATATAATGTTGTATTTAACTCACATACAAATACGTATTTATTCACTGGTTTGACTTTCCATCCCAACTTTAAAAACAAGTCTTTGCAAATCTGTGGCATGAAAAGGTCACATTTAAATAGCAAAGTGGACTCGTTTGAGCCGTATCTACACACTTTGACGTTGTGAGTTCATTTGACATAGAGTACACTCCATACTGTGTTCCATTATTCATTCGACATGGCAGCACATGAATAAAGCCATGCAGGGGAACAGCAGCCGGCCGAGGGGGGACATGCAACGACAGCGGGCGGCCACAGACAGTCTGCATTTACTCTCCCTCTCTCTAAACGGGCTTACCAAGCTCAAGCCTCGCTTTTCCTGCTCTAACAGCAGCTAATCAGCCACTGCAGGACACAGCAAAGTCCAGACATTTCTCCTCCTCGTGTCGGTGGCGGGACAGAGACGACACCACACACAGAACAGTGAGTCAGGAGTGGTGAACACACACACGGGGAGTGTACCGATGCTGGGATGATTTACCTATAATAACGCTCCAGATGGAAACCAAGAGGATGGACGAACAAAACAATGAAAAATGAGCACACACAGGTGATGAACTGAATTTAATTTATGAAACATTTCAGATACTGACAAAATAGGAACTGCATTAAAAGATGATGAGCAACATTTAAAAATGGAATAAAGACATGAAGGAAAACAAGCGGGAAATGAGTAGATTCATTTGTCACCAATAATCAGGCACTTGTATATGTAGAGAAACATGACAAGAGGAGGAAGCTGACACCGAAATTTAAACCATGGACTGCTAATGTGGAATCAGGCTCCATCAGCTGAATCTAAAAAAAAATGTTTTTATATAACCATCAAATCAATAACTAAATAAATCTAAAACTAGAAACACTGGCTCCGGCTTCAACTGGCTTTCATCTCATTCTGTACAAATAGATAACAAAAATACATCAGTTTTTTAGTGTAAACAAAAAAAGAGACATTTGTGTTCCTAAATGCCAAACAGCAGCGACTCCTCTACCTAATATGAGCTTATTGTGGCTCCGACTGCAACTTCATCTCGTCTTGTAAACAAACGTTTCTGTGCAACTCTCCAGGTATCCTCTTATATCCCTTGCTGACGCAGAACAACAAGATAGACACTCTGTAAGGAAGAGGACGACCGAGAGGAGCAAAGAAACGTATTCGAAATCTTTACTCTCCCTGAGCTGGAACACAGTACTGCACAGGAAGGAGATACTGAGGTAAAGATGGTGATTAAAAAGGTATTAAAAAACAGCAAACATTAAAAAAAAAAAGAGTATTCCTAGTGCATATACTAAAAGAAAAACACGATTTATGCTTGAGGTAAACATGGCTGAGCAGTTTAGAAGCAGTTAAACTCATCAGACCTGTAAACACCTAAACAGAGCTAAACAAACCCTGACTTTAACACAACAGCAACAACACAATCTTCCTCTCACTAATAACACATCAAGTCATAAGCAGTAAAACATGATTGCACTTAGGGTGGATTGTTTCTACAGTCTTTCTTGGTCAGGTAGGACCAGCAGCTTGTATGGCTAATGTCAGCTAATGTGTAGCTTTATGCAGTGATATTAGATTAAGATTCCCCTACCTCGCTCTCAGGAAACGAAACAACTGAACAAAAATGTTAAACTATTCCTTTAAGTTTTAGTCAGCAAGCTATGACACTGTCCAACTCATAAACAACTAACTGTTTTACTCTGGCTGCAGTGTAAATAGAGCACAAGGGTTGATTAACCCTTACAACAACAACAACAACAACAACAGGCAGCAGAAGGATGCCGGGTCGGGGCTACAGCAGGCAACAAGGGCTTCTCTCAGGCAGAGGAGCAGTTTTGGTGGGAGTCGGGGGGTGCAGGCACAGAAAATGGGAATCCCTGCAAGTTAAAAGCCGGCTGAGAAGATCCTCCTACCACGTTTATCTCGCTCTTAGCGGCCAGGGTGGGCAGCTCGATGTCCGTGCCGCCGGTCTGGGCAGACTCATCTGCGGGTAGGAAACCTCGCCTGTCGATCAAGCTGGAACAGCACAGAAAGGTGAGACAGTATAAGGTGACGTGCATGTTCCTGTTTTAGTTTCGATATTTCGTGTCATGAAATATGATCTCGTGGGTGCGCAGGTGTAAATGAAATGGAGCATGTGGTTCAAAACTAAAAATGCTTTGCAAGACACTTTCATTTGTTACACGGTTATTACACAAGTATTAATTATAGCCTCTTGAATGAGACTTTAATACAAGATGCACATTAATAAATAACCAGTTGTAAAAACAGTTCAACTCAATTAATTATATGCAACTTGCATAGGTGCACAGTTTTGTTTATTGTTTTGTTTTGTTCGCATGGATATTTCTGAGGATGTGAAATGACCACTGTCAAACGGACTCCCTCTTGAGGACCGACCTGGGTGGCATGGGTGCACAAAGCACAGAACAGCAGTTGATAAAGATGTTTCTGTGACTGTATGGGTTGGTGACATCTTCGCCACTCTTTCCCGACCAGGAGCCTTTGATCTGAAGAAAAAAGAAAATACCATAACGTCACTGGTTGTACAATTTTGCAAGATTTCACACTCGTATTTCACCAAACAGTAACATTCTGTGTTGAAGAACTTCCTTAACTTAGCATGGGTTCACAATGTAGGTACAAAAATAGGAATATGTGTAAGGGTTCGTGTTTCTTCTGTACAACAAAGTGTTATTTAATAAGCAGTCTTCTCTCTCAACATCAGCCTAACACAAAACTAGTTTTTCCTCATACAAACATCCCATAACAAACAAAAACTTGAATCTGCCACAACATCCAACACAAGGCAGTACTCACGTCTTCATTAGTGGTCAGATTGGAAGCCACCAGGTATGTATGGAAGCCTGAGAGGCCCAAGATGGACCAGACTGAGAAGAAACATATCACCAGCTCCACTGCAGTGACAGGTTGGGTCAAGGAGAGCATCACTATGTTGGAGGTAGGACTGGGGGACGTGGCCGACAATTGTTTTGGGGGTTTTTGTGTTTTTTTTTTTTGGTTTCAGTTAATATTAAGTCTTTTTGCATTAAGTTACAGAGTATGTTCTGGCAAAAATTTCACACTAACCATTCAGGATACTTTATTTCAAGCGGTCTGAGAGAAAACTTCTGCACCTCCGCTTGGCTCTGTTTTCAGTTGATATAAAATCCAGTTCATGACAGGAGACTTCGGCCAATCACAGGTGTTTTCAGAGAGGGGTGTTGCTCCTATTGGCTGTTCTACAAATGCAAATGAGCGTCTCTTAGGATGACAGAACGCCTGATTGAGTGCCAGAAAAATCCTTCAGGAAAAGCTGTTACTCCAGCACTGGCAACAAATGCAATCCAAAGAAGGAGAGATGGACGAATCGGAACAACAATGAACTGCAATGGAACAGTATCAGCAAAGTGTTCTCACTTTCCTCAGCCATGTTTCATCATCGCTGCCATTAGTCGACTGTATCCAAGGAAACAATGGCAGCTTTTGTTACTGTCCTGAGTCCAGAGGGATCTTTCTATCTGTGAGCACTGCAGAGAATGTAATTTAGGTATTTTTCACAAAGTGCAAAAGAAAAATTCTGAGTTATCAATTTAATATATCACCGAGCCCACATAGGAGGGATGAAGAGGAACGAAAACAAATAATAGCATTGTTCTTTTGCTCAAGAAATCCAGAAACGTGCTCGAAAAGGATATCTGCCGGGACTCTCTTGAAGAGCAAACACCAGTCCTTTCCCGCCTTGAGCCCCTAAAAGAGAAGAGAAATATCACCGTCACCGGACTACAACTGTGTTTCTGTGCCATTAAAATGAAAAAACATACAATGGGAAATCACAATGGAGCTTTTTCCAACTGAGACAAAACAAACACAGTTACTAGCAGGTGCTTTATGAGCCAGCAGAAAGACTCCTGACTGATTTCCAAACATGAGCCAAAGCAAGTACTCAGCGCAAGATGTGTGGTCACGCAGCCGAAGATGAAAGCTGTCAGGAAGGAGAGCGACACGATGAAGGTGTAGAAGAAACGGTAGTTGCGTTTCCCTACGCAGTTCCCCACCCAGGGGCAGTGATGGTCAAATCTCTCTGAAAGACAAGACGAAGAAACACTAAGATGAGAATTTAAAGGAACACTTCAACAGTTTGGGGTACAATCTAGAGCAGGGGAATAGACGGAAGCTTGTTCACTGTGCCCCTGTGAAGCCTCTTTTCATTATTCATGGCTGGTAAATGTCACGGTGTCAATGTGCTCACCCACACAGTTGTCACACAGGCTGCAGTGGGAGGTGCGTGGAGGCCGGAACATCTTGCAGGTGAAGCAGTATTTGAGCTTGACCACCTGCTGGTTGATGAGGACTTCCTTGGTGCGCGGTGGAGGCCGATAGCTGGTGTTTCCAGTGTTGTCTGCAGAGGAGACAAAAGAAAACAGAAACACAGTCTATTCTTTAGATGCTGTTGACTTTAAAGCCCTTACACACCAATGCTTCACTCACACAGGTGCACCTTATTTTACCCACTCAGACCTCTTCTCAGAATTGTGTGATGAGTGTAATTGACTTCCTGCACTCTCATGCAATTATTTTCATTATTTATCAATCTGCAGATTTTTTTCTTGACTCATCAACGAATCATTTTGTTTAGAAAATGGCAGACACTAGTGACAAATGCAAAAATAGTCCAAAATCTCTATATATTTAATTGGCAGTCTTCAATGATAAAGAAATGCTAAAGCAGAATGAATGCTGCTAAGCTAGCCATAACTGCTGCACTGCTATGTTTCTGTCCTGATTGTTTGACTGGGGAAATTTAGTCTGACTGCATCATTGGGGTACGACAACTAACACCTTAATCGATCACATTTCAGGTTCCAAATATCACCCAGGCTTAAAAGACAGGGCATCGAGACCAAACACGGGTGTCTGGAACAACAAAAGATGGTTTTATCCCATGCAGTATATCAACGGTGATGAAAACTGACGCCACATCTTCGACACTCGCGTGACAGCTTTCACACTTCCACACACAACTAGCAAAGCAGTCTTCTTGCTGTGACATGTGGAATTTACAATTGACCCAATGCCAAAAAACATTGTTACGTCTGAACTTTTATGACCTCGGCCTCGTAGATTAAATACAACCAACATGCCCCAGCAATAGGCACATTATCAAAATGAATAGGAAAATTGTTTGATATAATCACTTAACTGCATCAGATGCAAACCACCATGACTGCACATGAAAAGTTTGGTTTCATGATCAAGCCTCCAGCGTGTTCCCTCTCTGGCTTACAAACAGCCTGTCATCTCCCTTGATAACAGAGTTTCGTCACTGTCCATCACCCCCCCTGTGGCTTTCGTGCAGGTCTCCTGAGGCGCACTAGTCCACCGCCACCTGAGCCTCTAAGCCCCGTCTACGCCCGCGGACGTCCCTCGGAGGAGGATGTAGCCAGCAAGAACCGGCAGCAGACAAGGTATGAGGATTTCTTTTCCTTATTTATTTTTAATTATTGTGTAAATGTATGAATTTGTGAGTGTTTTCTGTTGTTGTGTTAAGATTAAAATGACCTGTGTGCCTTCATAGTTAGGCTACTGTGCTTAATTCAAAGAAATGTGATTAAACTTGAATTATATTTTTTCTTTTAGTTGCAATTCAAAAGGAGTCCCTAGTATTTATCGATATTGATGAAAATGAAAACTGTTCAGCTGTATCACTCAGCCCTATGATGACCTAATTCTTAGCGTCATTGTCCAGTGTCAACCTGAGCACGGCTCTTACAAATCACATGGTCAGACCAAAGTTTGCCTCTCATTCTTGTCTCGCTTCTGGTTGCCAACCTCCTTTGCATTATGCAGACTTCAGACTGACTAAAGGCTAACTCCATCTACGTCCTCTTAGAAGGCGTAGATAGAACACTTTCTTACACATTACGGATGTCACATCAGTTAAACTGTTCTGACAACGTGGACTTAACGTTTTTAGGGGTTTCTCTACAATCAGATAAAACATATTTCCACAAAATCCCACAAAAAGCCTTTTTACAACCAACATTCTGATTGTTAAACAGTCAAAGCACAGGTGTACCATGAGCGATGTCTGAGTTCCATTAAGTGGTCCAATGAACCAGACTGCACAATACTAGCAGCCTGAAAGTGGCTGCCCTGAACAGAATGTACTCATTATCAATGAATAACATCTTCTTCTGCGAGGAGATGCTCAAACCTCCTTGTACAGAAATGGTTAAAAAGGTTGCATACTGCATGTATTATTTACTAAGTACTTTTGTAATCGGCGTACACGAAATCATTTGGCATTTTGTACAGACAGCAAACAACTGATGCATCGCAACGAAACACAATGTACCCAAAACCTGTTTAGTATGTAATGGGAATATCTCTCTAGGTTACAATGGAGTTTGAAATTTCACTATTTACACAAGCTCTGTGCTTATTAGTGGAATTTTAATTAGGCCTAAGATGCTTGCTAACACAGTCCAACACCATGTACACAATATTTACTTAGAGATAAGATGCTGGGTAAATGCTCAGTACTTGTGCCAGAATATTTATCTCAAAAATAGCTGAAGCAACAGCAGTACAGTTGGATAATACGAACATCTTACATCACCGCTGCCTAAACTTTGGTCATGTGTAGGAGTTTCCGAGGTGCACATGAAGCCAATTTTATACACGGAGGTCATTAAATCAAAGCAAGCCATATGGAAAGGAAAGATAATGTTGGCAAGACATTAAAACTGACAAGTGAACATAAATGATGAAGCGCTTTGAACAGGTCTGAAATGCAAAAAAACAGACAGATTGGAGTAAAGGGATCTCTACAGAACCTTTTCAAAGGGATAACATATCTTTCAGGCCAAATTTAGATGGCAGCAGGACACCTTGCTTCCAGAACAATAGCCCTAATAGCAGCCAATATGACATTTATTGCTCTGAGTCATGGCAAATTCAACTTCAGACGTTTGATGTGTCAACGGGTTCATTATCATTAAAATGAACTGGCAACAGCATGAGTTAAATGACTGAAGGTACCGGACCAGTTCTTTCAAGCAAAGTTAAAGCAGTGCAGACCCGAGGCCACTGACTGGATGGTAACATACAAAAAAACGCTTAAGCAGTATGAGTTCAGAGGACAAATCCCCTCCAGGAAACATAAAGGTCCCACGGAGAGCGCTGGTGCCAAAGTTGGTCTAAATTCACAGTCATAAACCGTCAGAAATACCACACCAGGGGAAACAGTGAACGCTTCGAAACCGTAAAATTTTATGTTCCTCGCTATCAAAGTCAAGAACACCCTTATAGTTACGACCACAGCTATGTGCGACTCACTTATCCCTTACCGATCTGTTTCTCGATGTCTGCAGCCTCGTCTGGTGTGGCTCTGGGCAGGATGCCGGGGTCGGTGAAGCTGGTCTGGAGCAGGGTGATGACCACGAAAACAAAGAGGACTCCTCCAATAACAGGTATGCAGCTGGTCAGGTGTTTTACCAGGAAGGGACAGCTGTGATATGGGGCAGTCACAGAGAGAGAGAGATGATGAATTACAATAACAACAACAGGCTGACCATATCAAAGGCTGGGAGAGGATCGTAACAATGCTCCATCTCATATCACATAACCCAGCCTACTTTTTTTTTTTTTAAACCCACCATGGGATCTAGTTTTCATTAACCTTCAGTGCTTTTAATCACCATCTAAATCCATGGAGACAACACAAGTGTCGCTGCACGGTGACGGCAAGATTGTCATTTTCATTATTAACCACTATTAATGTACATTTTGATTTAAAATGTTATTACCAGCTGCAAGAATAAATAGGAATTTTAACCCAAAAAGTGCAAGGGGTCAAATGTAGAATGATAAGGACTTCTAAACAGCCTGACTACATGATGAAATTGAACACCTTTAAGCACAATTGCATAATAATAGTAAAAGGGCTTATAGATCATCAATAAAGAGCTTTTATGTATAACTTGGATCTAATACCCCAGACAGAAGTCATTTCTATAAAAGGTCAATTTAAAGAGCTGATGTGCCTCATCTGCTGTTGAGTTTCTTACATCATACCACTGGATGAGGACAGTGACTGAACTCACAAGTGACAGAACAGGAAACCTACTATGCAAAAAAAATGAACTCACTCAAATATAAAGAATAAACCACTTGTGACCAGGATGAGGCCCAGGGTGAGGGGCAGGACCCCGCTCTGTCGGGCTACTATGATCCGTCCATCGCAGTAGAAGCGGTTCTTTCCGGGGAAAACTTCCCACTTTCTCTTGGGTCTTTTCGGCTCCTTCTCCTCCTTCTTCTTCTTCTTCTTCTTCTTCTCCTCCTCGTCGATGTCGTTGCCCTGATGAGGCGGAGGGGTCGGGGTGGGCGTCGGGAGTGCCTGCGGGTCGATTTGCTGATACTCGCAGTTTTTCATGATTTATGATGGAGTTTGGCTGCTCTGTCCCAATTCGGACAACCAGGGCATTTGGCCAGACAGCATCACCGACCCCCGTGTACCGTTAGGCAGGCGAACGGAGCAAATGTCGTCATTCCACGTAGAGAACAAGCTAATCCTGCACCGTGGGCATCCAGCTGTAAATAACCGTGAGACCCCGTGCTGGCAATTACATCCCCGTTACTTTCCATGCCTCTTCATTTATTCTTCTTTCAGTGTGTCTTCAGACGGACTGGGCACAAATTCAAGCCCTCTGGACATCGTTAGCTTCGTCGCTGTGCCACTCACACTAGCCAGCTCATCCAGCTGCGGAGTATTTAACATCAGTAAAGTACCGTTACCACTGCTAGCTTGTTAGCTCGCTCGACTTGGACATTATATTCCAGCTTTGAGCCAAGCCCCAGCGACTGTGTGTGGATAAATTAAACGCAGACGAAAAACTTTTGTTATTTTCAACGCATATCGCTCTTCTACAAAGAGTCCTGACACATTCGTGACCACCTACTGGTTAGCTGCGTTGCTACAAAACGACTCGTCCGGGCAAATCGCGATGTTGTCAAGCGCGACACAAAGGAAACGTCTACTTCCGGTTGTGTGTCTTTCGAAATAAGTGGCCGCCAAGCAGTTGGACGTTTGGGGAACGTTCCGCCAATGTTAGCTAGAGTTTCGATGGCTTTCGCTAGGCCTCTTTCGATAACGTTCGTTAAAGTTTGTCGTTGTAGATGCTTTAGCAAACGTTTTCGGAACGTTTTGTGAATGTCGATAATGATAAGCTTAAGGGATTGTTCTCTAAAGGCTACTGTTTGCTGGATATTCTGTTAAAATATTAAAACATCGTGACAACAGAACTCAGAAAATGATTGGTAATAAGATCTGCACCCATGTGGCTATATTTTCTAATAAATAAACATTGTCAAACGATATAAACGGTACAACATCCGGTAATTCGGTGATCATTGTGGGTAACTTGACAGTTTTAATGCATCAAAATAAAAGCGCAAACATGTTAACTTTTAATTTCGACAGGGTGGTGGTGATAATTACAGGGTTATGAATACGTTGTATTTATTGTAGGCCTTCTCATTTAGTCGCTGAGTAATTTAAACAACTTCATCGTAATATGTAAAATTCGAAAAATACACTTGCGCTTTATTTTTTGAAGTCATTCCTAACCGGAAGTCCAACCTCTTGGTCGCAGCTACCTGGTGCCTTCCTCCAGCTTGACGCGCAGGTACACGGATTCGGTCGAAAACTTTACTGAAACTGACATTTTGGAGCGGCGCCGTCACAAAAAAAATAATAATAATAAACTTTCAAACATGGATTAGAAACTTTAATGTTTAGATTTGGTGGAACAGCCGACAGGAACTCGGGAGTGGAGCTGCTGGAAGCGCCGTGAACACTGTAAGTAATGTGAGGTGAGAAAGTCCTCTAATGGAGGAAAGAGCAGCTCTGACAAGTCGCCATGAAAGTGAAAATAATCTTTACAGACGAACAGAATTGCCAGCTAGTGTGTTCCAAACGTTTACGTATTGTTAAATTACTGGGTAAATGAAGATAAAACAGCAAAATGATAGCTGGGTTTCTCGTGTTTAAGGCTAAGTCACTACTGTAAACACTGGTCTGACTCATCGTCAACACGGAACGCCAGACTCCATTTGAGAATCTGTCAATTCAACGCTCTTTTGCAATATCACACACTCACGGATAAAAATAACTGAAGATAGCGAAAGATTTAGTCAGTTTTTCTCGTTCTATCTATCTATCTATTCATTCAACTAAAAAAAATACTCCTTTCCTACTTTAATTTAAAAAAAATGTCGTTTTGACTCTGCTTGTTGACTGTCAAATGCCAAACTCACTTTTAACATGCTGCTAAAACCATCAGTTTTAATAATGGACTTCGGTTTAGTAGGTGAAGGATTCAGAATTGTAATCAAATTCATGTAGTAGTTGTTAATTATCTCCATAAGTTTGTCGTGTAAACACTGGAGATGAGCAGATCCCTGTGCACTTGTTGGGGAATTTATAATTATTTTTTTTTAACTCTGCATCTCACAACTAGTTTTAGGGAAACTCCATAACATGACATCAGTACTTCTGATTATAGGAATAGCTATTTGCCTTAGACTATGTGCTCTCGCATTCGACATAAAACCTGTTTGACTAGCTCACCCGGCACCTGGGGATAGTAGTTTCACATTTGTTTTGGAGAGAGATGCCCTCAGGTGGCTACAAGTGACTTTAGGTTTTGCCTGAGATATTGGATTGGTTACAAGAATGTCCCGATGCCATTTCAACACTGTCTTATGATGTAGTGAAACCCCCGTTGACCTCATTTTCTGCAATGCTTGTCCTTGAATTCTTGGAGCCAGGAAGTCATGTCTGCCGGCAGCACCAGACGCAGCTGGGGGCCCGGCAGCCACAGGCCCGGACCCAGCCGGAGCAGCAGCCAAAGGTCGTCATATGAGGAGCGCTGTGTGGACCCAGTGGAAGACGGGCTACCCACCCCAGAGCCAAAGGTGGTCCACAAAGCTCACCTGAAAGATGCTAATGGAAAGGAGTCTGAGACCATCGGCTTCATTCCTGGCTCAGCTGAGCCTTCCTCTGCGACACAAACCTGCAACCCCTGCGCTTCTCCGAGGAGCTGTAGGACTTTTATATGCAACGTGCTCACCTGCGGCCTGTACAGGGTTTGCCAGTGCACCATCCTTGCTCCGTGCTTGGCGCCAAACGAGAGCTCCACAGACGAACCGGAGAAGGTGAGCCTCCGAGCCGTGAACGCGGGACAAAACAAAGAAGAAGACGGCGCAGACTGGCTGGGGGATGTCCACATCGGTGGAGTGAAAGTGGACCGCGCAAGACAGTATGTAGAGGCTGAAACTAATTCATACCCGCTTCTGTCTGCTGGTCAAACGCAGCCCAGTCATCCGTCCCTGCATGAGTCTATGAGGTTTGATGACTGGGAGGATGGCGATGAGAATGTAGACTCCCTGATTACTAAGAAGCTGCTGGAGCTCTACTCTGAATATCAAATCGAAGAGTTGGCCAGGTGCACCTCAGACTCCGTGTTTCTGAAGAAGAGCAAGGCCATCAACCAGCTCATCAACTCGCTGGCAGAGGAGCACAAAATGGGTGAGCAGGAAGCTGAGTGCAGGCTGGTGCGAGGCATCATACGCATCAGCACCCGGAAAAGCACAAAGAGGAGGCCCCCCACCTCCAGGAGGGAGAGGACGCTGTCGGACAGCGGCAACGAGACGATGAGGGACAGCGACTCCTTCTCATTCAGCAATAACAGTGAGTAGTGGCGGTTCTCGCTCCTTCAACCCAGAAATAGCAACAGCAACTCCAAAATGTCTCACTGCCATCAAGTAAAAACCGTTTCTCTGTTTCCTCAAGATGACTACAAATCAAATCCCAACATCCAAATATCAGACCTGACCTCCTCTGATCAGTGTGCCAGGGAGATGTGGAGGAACAATGGAGGTAAGAAATGTGCCTTAATCAACTTTAATATGTTTTAGACACTTGCTTTAATGGTGATGTAATGTCCAATTATAGCTAAAACTGTGTGTCATTAACTTATTTTGATTGTCAGCAGTTTGGTCAGTGACTTGTTGGCCACAGCAAGACATTATTTTGGATCACACATGGCCGTTCTAACAGGGTCTTCTGGTTGACGGTGATGGACTTCAAACATGAGCCTTTATTTATGACTAAACAAAGAGTCTCTGATTTTGGTGCCACAGGCAGGATTTTTGTTTTCATTTTAATACACATGCCTTTTGCTACCTTTACTTCTCGCATACACAATATTCCAGAGACCTCTAGGACAGAGACTTGGAAATTATGTTCTGATCGGTTGTGATAGTTACGAAACGTCGTTTCCTGATTTATCACATTCCTGTCATGTGAATGTTGTTTTAGAAGAAAACACAACAAATTACAGGTGCTGCTGACCATGTTGTCTGTGCTAGCTGGCTGTTGTGTAGTTTAGGAAATCATGGTTCTTACTGTTCTCCATCGCTGTTCTTCCTTCCGAGTATTTCTACAACTAAAGCAGCCAACCTCCTGCTTTGTGCCCAGATTATTTCTGAAAGTGAGCTGAAACACTTGCGTGGATGAAAATGTTCTGTTTTAGCTAAGTCTAGTTTAAGTTTTAAGACTCCTTGATATTTATTTGAATTGCATATTTAGTTCCTAGATAGATAGATAGATAGATAGATAGATAGATAGATAGATAGATAGATAGATAGATAGATAGATAGATAGATATTACATTGTGGTTGAAGAGCGTAGGTAATTTGTTTTTTGTTAACACGATACATAGCCCTGCTCCCGCAGCACCAGCCAACACACACAAACACACACCTGTGTACATGGGAGATCAGAGGTTCACAAGGGGGCTATATTTTGAATATATTTTGTTATTTTGCTAACAAGGATGATGGCATCTCCGCCCTGATCTCCTCACAAATCATCTAATAGTTAGAGAAAGACTGTTGAATTGGGCAGAAGTAAAATTTTAATTAGCAAATGTGCTTGTGGAACCCATGATTAGGTTTGGTTAAATTAGCTAGCAAGCTAAAGGTTAGTTTTAAATCACTTTTTTAAACAAGTTTAAATATAAATGACCACATTTCAAGCAAAATGTTTTTTAAAAACTGAGGAAAGCAAGAAAAGCACATTCAAACATACTGATACTGGTTTTCACTGGTGACCACTGTCCGCCTTTGTTTGGCTGCACTGGTCTAAATGCTGGTTTAAAGCCTTCTCCCCCCTCCTACCATAACATTCTGATGAATCCTTTACATGTGTATTTAGCTGCCATAAAGGTAGTCACATTTCAAATATGATTGATTCTAAAAACACTGGAATCATCCTATGAAGTGTCCTTCATGTGTAATTGCAGTCTGTGAATTCCCCCTACCTGAGTCATTAAAACAATAATCCAGAGGACGTGACCTCTGTGTCTTTCATGGCAACACTGGCTCTGTGCAGGTGTCATTTTACAGCATTGTGTGATTACCGCCACCTATTGAATGACACAGCAGTTTTTAATGTACCTGTCAGGGATTCACAAAATAGTGATTTTAAAAAGTCTTACAATGTAGAGACACATAAATGCACTACTACAGTATGAAGCAGGTACATTTTTTTTTGTTTGGAGGTTTCTTTCCTTCCACCAATGTCAGCTGTTGTGTGATTTGCCTACTTTTACTGGGTCTGCCATATCATATCAGGAAACAAACCAAACAACACAAGGCACTGTGGGTCAGTTGACAGATATTCATATTTGGACTTACTTCCCGGCAAGTGACCATAGAGCTACAGTTAAAATTTACCTTGGACCTAGTCATAGGGCCGCACCAGTGACAATGTAAATAGTTTTTATCGGTGGGGTGAGTGC